TCTCTTCATCTTTTGGGATTATTGGGCACGTTATTAATTGCAACTACAATATAAAGACTAACAAAATGGGTTAAGATGTCTGAACACATAGGACTACTATTAAAGCAATACAATGTAAAGAGCCACATGTATTTTAAATGTGTGTTGGCAATTGCATTTGCGTACAGAAATAAGTAGCAGAAAATAAATATTTGTGATCATTCAAAGTGCGAGGATTTACTCGAGAGTGGAGCATATATGCTCTGCGACAGAAATCTCTAGACACGATCCTTTTCATGCCTCATCGCGGCTGTGGTCACGGCGGTCACCGTGACGTCAGAGCGTGTCTTCTCCAGCTTGCGGTGACGTGCGAAGTGGAAAACCCACAACATTAAAACGGGAGGGACATCATTGAAGAGTCAGGCAGACCAAAGCCAGGGCCCGAGTCATGCGATTTGTTTAATTGAAATAAAATGTCTTCAGAAAAGTATTACTGATTCATATTTAATCGCCAACAGTTTAACCCATTCACAATGTGTGTGCCCTTCTTGTTTTACGTTTACAGGGGATGTTCGTTCTTGGGTTGCCCTACGCCATCCTGCACGGAGGATACCTCGGACTTTTTCTCATTATTTTCGCCGCCGTTGTGTGCTGTTACACGGGGAAAATCCTCATTGCCTGTCTGTACGAGGAGGACGAAGACGGACAGCTCGTCCGTGTGCGGGACTCCTATGTGGACATTGCCAACGCCTGCTGCACGCCCAGATTCCCATCTTTAGGTGGCCATATCGTGAATGTAGCCCAAATCATCGAGCTAGTGATGACCTGCATCCTGTATGTGGTGGTCAGTGGTAACCTCATGTATAACAGCTTCCCCAGCATGCCAATATCCCAGAAGTCGTGGGCTATCATCGCCACCGCCGCTCTCCTCCCCTGCGCCTTCCTCAAGAGCCTGAAAGCCGTCTCCAAGTTCAGCTTGCTGTGCACGATGGCCCACTTTGTCATCAACGTCCTGGTGATAGCCTATTGCCTCTCCAGGGCGAGGGACTGGGCCTGGGACAAGGTCAAGTTTTACATCGATGTCAAGAAGTTCCCGATCTCCATTGGGATTATCGTGTTCAGCTACACCTCGCAGATCTTCCTGCCGTCTCTGGAGGGGAACATGTCGAAACCGAGCGAGTTCCACTGCATGATGAACTGGACTCACATCGCTGCCTGCATCCTCAAGGGCCTGTTCGCCCTCGTGGCCTACTTGACCTGGGCCGATACGACCAAGGAGGTCATCACAGACAACCTGCCCTCAACCATCAGAGCCGTTGTCAACCTCTTTCTTGTGGCAAAAGCCTTGCTGTCGTATCCGCTGCCGTTTTTCGCCGCTGTCGAGGTATTCGAGAAATCGTTTTTCCAGGACGGAGGACGTGCAGCCTTTCCAGGTTGCTACGGGGGCGATGGACGCATAAAGTCCTGGGGACTCAGTCTCCGATGCCTCCTTGTTGTGTTCACCTTGCTCATGGCGATCTATGTGCCACATTTCGCCCTCCTCATGGGTCTCACTGGCAGCCTGACAGGTGCAGGCCTGTGCTTTCTGCTTCCCAGTCTCTTCCACCTCAGGCTTTTATGGAGAAAGCTGCTATGGCACCAGGTTTTCTTTGACGTCGCCATATTTGTAATAGGAGGTATATGCAGCATATCTGGTTTTATCCACTCAGTAGAAGGTCTGGTAGAGGCTTTTCAATATAACATACAAGAGTAGATGCATTGCTGGAACTAGATGTAAACTGCAAATCGCCATTTAGTGAAAAAAATAGAAACATGACTTCTCGGCAAGCGCAGCCCCTCTGCTTAATTCATGCGTAAAAAGCGCGCTCACAACACACGCGGAGATTTCCGCATTCATACAGTCTTGCATCAATTCAGAAAAAATGCGCGCAAACACACACACACACACACACACACACACACACACACAGAGAAATAGA